ATTCTGGAATATCTAAGAATATCTTCGTCCTACCTAAAAAATTAACAACCCTCGATCCCAATTTCTTTGTCAGTCCATTAATAAATCGTCTTCTTGTCTTCTTTGATACTCGTCCCCGTCTGCCGGCAAGTCGTCTCATCGCAATTTGTAGCAATCTCAGCGTACGCACCGACTTCATTCTCGGATCTCTCTCGGAGAAAAAGCTCGTCTCGCGAGACCATGGTGGCGAACAGTGACAAACAATATCTCGGGCTCCTCGAAAAATCAGGCGAACGCATCAACGGTTGTGACACGGTTGTTGCGAGTGAGGGTGGGGCTGATCAGACAGGTGAACGAGCGAGGGTGGACCATCACGATGAACGTCCTGCTCGGCTGCAGGAGACCGATAGGATACGGCGGGGATGGTGGTTGTAGGATCTCTTGACGCGTGCATCGATGTCCACTGGCTCCCGAGGGAAATCCACTTCATGATGGGAATCCCATTATTTCCCGAGCGATATAAAAGTAGGTAGTCCACGTGCTGTCCAGTTCAGGCCATTCCACCGACACTCTCACCCCCTTTTGCCCCCTCGAGCCTCCCTCTCTGCCTACAGACCACCACCGACCACCACCACCTCCTTTCAACCGAGCTGCTACCGGACTCTTTTTCCCTCCTCCTCCTCCTCCTCCTCCTTGCCCCTTTCCTCTTTTTACGATTGTCTCTCAGTCCATTCGCAATTCATTCCGAATTCGAAACTCTCCAGTGGACGCAAGACGACACCGAGAGGTTGAACAGTTTTTAGGCTCGATTAATACGTCGTCTTTCTTCCGGACAGAATGGATGGAAAATCAGATGGTCGTGTGTGAAACTCTTGTGGACTCGGAGCAGAGTGTGTGAAGAGCAGAAGATGGCACTTGACGTGCAAGTCAATTTGCGCGCAAAATGTCGTGTCTCTCCTTTAAATGAAAACTGAATTAAGAAATTCTAAATTCTTTAGAACGTACATTTAATTTGAAAACATAGTAATTTCCACTTTTCTTCAGAGAAGTAGAATTATGTGTCGATTTATTTTATCTTCGTCTGTTCGCAAGTCTTTCTTCGTAAGTCGCGT